CCCCCCCCCACCCTAAAGAGGGACGTGAACCAAAAAAAAGCCCGGTACCTGTTATGTTACCATTTTTATTATCTTCCAGTTTCGTCTTTTGTGGTCATCACATTTTCTCTATGCCTACTCCGTTTGGAAAAAAAGCGACGTTTATGGTACAAGCAACGAATTATAATCTTACCCTCTCCGATGGAATACAGTTGTTGAGTGGGTGGTTGGCGGGTGCTCAGGTGTAGATTGTTCCTTTTTTCCTATCAGCTTATTAGACTCAGTTGTTTTTTTTAATGTAGGTGATTTTACGCCCCCATCGACACTTAATTTAGATGATTTAGGAGGCGGGATTCCGACCCTGTTTGTTATAATAGGGCAAACCCGGGCTGATTGTGATACAACATTCCAGCAGAAACACCGAGATACTCGGTAAAAAATCTTCTTCCCACTCTGGAATCGAACTTGGGTTTCTTGAGTACAACAGCAAAGTGCCTAACCGCTGCACCACAGACGCCGGTGTCAAGGCATAGTGGCGTGTCACGACGCGGTAGAATCGGGCGCTCGTCAATTTTTGAGTACGCAGGGATTATATTAGTATCATCTTAAAGCTTGTTCATTTGTTTTGTTTTGGATGAAAACAATACTTCTTATCCGTTTATCTTGAATACACGTCGAGATATTCGCGAATGAAGAAGGTGGGGTCACCTGGTTTCAGGGGTAAAATTAGTGAGGAAATGGCCACAAAGATTAAATATTTCCTTAGCTTGAGAGTTCGTGGAAATTGAAAATGTACATTTTGTGTGCCTTTAACCAACGATTTTCAGAAAAATCCACACAGAAATGTGTTGAGCCAAAAAACAAAAATTCGATTGAAATTTACAAACCTGCTGAAAAATGCCAGTTTTTTCATTTTGATTTTATTGACAAGCGCCTGATTTCACCAATTGCCTCACTGTAACGTAATGTGGTCGCACTGGTAGACGCTGATAACAATAAGGTGCAGAATCAACCAATAAAGGACCTGCTTCTTACGTTAAAGAGGTTGATTAAAATTCCGGCCTCGATTCTCGAAGACATGGTCGTTTAGGATAACTTTACTTTTTTTAAGCTCTGACTTCAGAGTATGAGTGTGAGTAAAAAGAAGCACATATTTGACACAATAACGGCCTTTTTAGTGCAGGGAAGAAGCAAGATAGATAGATAAAAGCAACCTAGAGAGGGGGAAAAAAAGACGAAGGACCTACATGTACAAGTTGCGCCCTCAAACCACCAGCTCTCCGAAGTCAGAGCACTTCGGCTTTACAAACAAAACAATGAAACAGAGGGAACTTTGGATTTTCAAACAAAACAATAAAACACTTCACACTTACATCACCACAATTCTGATTATTATGAAGGGCTCTCGTGGTCGAGAGGTTACGGCGTTCTCCTCTCATTGAATAGATCCCGGGTTCGAATCTGGATAGCGACGTCTAAAATCGTCTCCTTTCACCTCCTTTCCTGCTCTCTAACAATGTTCCGTCATCTGCTTTCGTCTCCATTTTAACCCCCCACCTCCTCACCTTCTTTGCCCCGAGCTCTGGGCTCCTGACTCTTTCTGCAGCCTTTCTACTGCTACTTCTTGGCTCCTTCTTACTGCTGTCTTTTACTCACACCCCTGATCATGTAAGATCTATACCTATCCTCCTCAGATAAGGGCGAAAAACCTTGGAGGTCGCGTGTGCAAGTTGCGCATGTTAAATGTTGAAGTCGTCTCGCGCGCTCATATGGCTTTGCGCAGTTGGGGGCTCCGTAAATCACTAAGATCTACTCATATATTTTTTTCAAAAAGATTATTTTGAGGGAGGGTTATTTCGATCTAACTGCCGTGAACTGCCGGCTCTTGTCACACTTTGTGAAAAACATATTCCAAAAAAAAAAGAGACACGATGTTTGACAATGATTATAGCTGAACGCGCACTAATGGCCATTTGTATAAGACAATCACTTGTACAAATGGCCACTTCTGATTATTACATTAAAGTGACGCTGTATGATCACGGTCACCTGTCTAATACGGCATTTTTCTCCTAGACAATGGGTTTCCATCTTATACTGTAAGGAGGAGGGCCCTCGTGGTCAAGAGGTTATGGTGTTCGCCTCTAATTTAGTCGATCCCGGGTTCGAAACCTGACAGAGACGGACATTTTTTTTCTTCTCTAACATTGTCTCCTTTCACCTCCTTTCCTGCTTTCTTGCCGTGCACCATGCTCTGTCATCTGCTTTCGTATTCACTTTCTGCCCCCACCCCCTCACCTCCTTTGCCCTCTCCTCTGGGCTCCTGACTTTTTCTTGGCGCTCATATGACCTTATACAGTTGCAAGGGTGGTAAAACCTCTACTAAAACTGAAATAAAAAGACTTTTTCTGCAGCCTTTCTACTGCCACTCCTTGGCTCCTTCTTAGTACTGTCTTTCGGCTATACCCCTGATCTTCTTAGGGTAGGTAAGATCTTACTACTAGCCTTCTAGGATGACGGCCAAAAATCTCGGGGGGTCCCGTGCGTAAATTGCGCACGTTAAAGATACCTTGATGGTCCAAAATCTATAAGAGTAGGCTTCGGCCGCCAACTGGGCAAAATTCAAAATTAGTTTCTACCAAACAGAAAATATCAATCACATATATCGCGACTTCTTTTGGAAATATACAGGGTATGGTAACTTATTTCAACGTAAGCAAGACAAATGGACTAGCTACAAGAGAATACCAACAGCTCCATATGCCCCAATATTGACAAATGTCTGATTCCATGGTGCCTTAACACAATAATTATATTTCAAGAAAACAAAACCAAGGAAATGAACTTTGTTAAACAGATTCAGTTTATTCTATTTGAAAAGAATCAAAAGTCGATATACATTCAAAACAGTTTGATCAGCTTAGTATCAAACCAGAACCAAGAGGTATAAAATAACTATGAAAGGAAAGACAAGTGACTGTTCATTACAAAAACAATATTGTCCTGCAATACATGACAACTGATACATCTTGTGGCACAAGGGAATCTGTATTAAAATTTTAATTCTTCTCTCGAAAATTGTAAGGGAAAATGGCTTCACTTTCTTGACGATATAGGCATCAAATAGTTGATTCAAATCTGATTTATAAAAAAAGACAGATCATGAAAACACAGGGCATAAAAAGTCCTCAGAATGTCAACAATATTGTACCATATATTGCTTTACATACAAAGGATTTGCATTTAAACCATACTAAAATGTATAAATCATTGTTTCTTATCAAGAAGGGAGGGAAAATTTCTATAAATATCTTCTATTTTCTCCTTTTGTCAAATAAATCAAGCTTGGCAAATAAACAATTCCATTGTGTGCCTTCACACATATAACAGTATTGTTCTTATAACAACCCCCCAAAAAACATGAGGACCATCATGTAGATTTGAAAACTGGTGTTAAAATGAAAAGTCGTTTATAAATTCAAACACACAGGCAGATAATGTGAAGACAAAAGCATCTCAAAATCAGCAGTAAAGCTGAATAGAAAGAAAAATTATTAATGCTGACAGACATTGACAGCACTGAGTAGACAGAAATAAGAAGTGGATGCATACAGGCAAGAAAAAGAAACAAAACACAACGTGGCCATTGGTTAAACATTGCGCGGTGTAATGTTGACCATTCATGAGGTGGCCTTCAACAAACTCAGCATAAAGACAGCTCCAACAAATGTCTAAAATTTGAATGGTTTTTCCTATAAATCAAATCACATTTCGCTTACTCTGATCTGATAGTAAGTGCAAAAGCAAAGGAAAAGTTGAGTAAGTAGGGAAATAGAAGTTGGGGCACTGTGAAGTAAGAAAAGAATTTTAACAAAGAACCACCCAATATAAGTGACCCCTGAACATGTTCACAGCGTTATTCAGACTGATTTGGAAGACATAATAAAAAATAGTGGTAAAACTGCTAGGGTGAAAAATATAAGATAATACAGATAAATCAAAGAGTTGTAAATTAAGTTTTAATCAATATTTTCTCAAAAAGGAGAGCACATTAGATTTTTACATGAACATAAACATGTATAAATATATGAAACTGGCTTCAGTTGAAAAGGCAAAAACACTCAATGCATCTCTACGTCCACAGGTTCTCAAAGGAACTATATGTGTGAATTTAAAAAAAGTGAGTGATAGCAGTTATGAAAACTAAATTCTACAGTTGTGATTTGTACACCAGGCAGAGTAGAATCTGCCTATGAACACAGCACTTGAATCTAGAATCTTCATGGCAGGGTGGCAAGCAGACACACGTTGTGTAGTTATGTATTCAACTTCTGAATGACAGCAGCAAAGTCTTATCTGACATTTCAGGATATATATATATATATATATATATATATATATATATATATATATATACATGTCTATAGGAGAAAGGCAAAAAAAGTAAGTCTTAAACAATGTTTTATTGTGAAAAGATTTACAGTTCAAAATAGGCAGAGAGATGTATGAAAAAGTGTATGCACAATGAACAAGTCAACTTTTATCCTCAAAGTAAAAGGCACTAGTGATTCTGTCAGTCATGTAAACAGAGGGGGGGGGGATCACAGGTCTTTTACACAGTGCATAAGGAGCTGCAACAAGAACTGTTTTAAACAGCAGCAGCACCACATACATTTGAATGAAATTACATTAATTTCGGATGAAATATAGGTCATCTAACAAAATTGAGTAGATCTAGTCATTTTTGCTATCTTTCAGTATAACTGAAGGCAACATGGCAAATCCTGCACTATCTTTATGATAATGGACACTTTGCATAGTACTCCAGCTGGTTGACACATTTTTGAGTGTCAGATGAAAGTCGATGGGAAGCTCAAATTCAGGTAAGAGGAACATTTTGGGGAAAAAGAAAATAAAGTCTTGAAGTTTCTTCAGGGAATTTTACCTTTCAGCAAGAGATATGTTTCTCGGACTCCTCAAGTTTTTCAATAGAATAAATATCACAAAAGGACATATCAAAATTGTTATAAAAGCATGATTTGGATTTTAAAAAATATTTTTAATCAAACAGCTTCTGAGGTGATATGTTATTTCTGACAAGTAAACTTGGAGGTTCATCTTTGGCGAAAAACGGGGTTGGGACTGGCTGCAGGTAACATTTGTGCAACGAAGCTGGGGTGTGGGGAGCTATATATAGCACCTGGAGAGGTCAAGGTTATCACTCGCTAGACTCTAGACTCTGCAGTGCGGGGAGGTGAGGGTAGACAGCTGTGCACTTTTCACGCATTCATAATTGTCGTCAGATTACCTGTGGACAGAGAAATAGGATACTGAAATTTGATAAGGAACTACAGCATGAATTTATTTATATCTACAAAAGCTAGCATCGGATATGCAGACATTAACTAATTTGTTTGTTTGAGAGACATGTAATTTGAACCACATGAACTAAATGAAAGTTTTGGTGCTGGTATGAATTTTAAGTTTCTGTCAACAAAGTATGTGTTGTTTGAGAGGCAGGACCTCAATTTTAATCCCCATCTGTTGTAATTTATGGACCCAATTATGTGGAGAATTGAGAAAACTGAGTTTTCTCCCAAAAAGAAATCCCAGTTCATAACTGTGGAACAAACATGCCAGCCAATGGATTCATTTTGAAGTTGTGTGAGCCTTCACAGAACACATGACTACAACTAACTGTAAAATTGAAATTGTAGATGGTTTAGGCCTCATAAAGACAATTTGTGAGGCAGCGTGGTGAAATCAGGTGCTCGTCAAAATAAATTAAATCAAAGATACCGGCATTTTTCGGCACGTTGGGCAATTTTTATCAAATGTTTGTTTTTTGGCTCAGCACTTTTTATGTAGGCCTAAATATGAAAACACATTTCCATGTGAATTTTACAGGAAAATGTTGATTTCAGGCACAAAATATGTCATTTTTCAGTTTTCAACGACGGTCAAGTTATTGAAGTTACCAAACTTTGGCGGCCATTTTCTCGCTAATTTTACCTCTGACAACAAACGATCCCCACAACCTTCAATCATAAATATACTCCTGAGACCCAACAGGGGAATGCAAAGAAGAAGACAACTTTATTTCATGAGGAGAGGTAAAAGTTAAGTATGACACCCCAAATAGTTGTGCACATTGACGATCTCTGCCAGCCGTTTACTGTTCTTGTAAGACATGGCACTGCTTACCCCACTGTGACACCCACAATGACCTTGGATCTGCCATCCAAGTCAAATCAGTTTTGAAGGGGACGGGTGTCCAAGTTCACTTTTAAATCACGATAAACAGATTCGGAGAAAGGATGATTGAAAAAAAGTAGAGGTGTCAAAATTTGGTTGGTGATAATCTTTAATGCCAGACATGTTGTTAAGTCGATAAAAAATTAAATAGTCAAAATCAGACAAAAGTAGAGAGAGGGGAGAGGGGGGAGGGGGGGGGAGTGACAGAGAGAAAAAGAGAGAGGGAGAGGGAGAGAGAGAGACACACACAGAGAGAGAGAGAGAGAGCGAGCGAGCGAGTGAGAGAAAAAGAGAGAGAAAACAAACAAATGATTGAGCTCACCTGTACACTGGTACAGCCACCATGTCTGAGCCGGGAGGCTGAGCACGCCTTTTAGCACATGTCTCACAGTACAGTTTACCTTCCACAACAAAGAAACCTGGCAAAAGTTTAAAAAACAAACAAATATAGTACAATAAATCAGTTTTGCAGTCTATACGGTATATACAGAGGAGTAAAGTTAAACTGAAATCAGCAAAACTGTTGGATTTTCCTTGGTTTCACTGTGTTTTGAGTACAGAGAGATTACTCAAATTACAAAGAAAAAAAATCAGGTATACCCGGTATGTATCTTATCTTCTTCATTTCGGTTTACCGCTGTTGTCGGATTTACTGTGCTCGGTTTAAATGGACACCATTACTTCTCTTCAAAGCAGTTATACAATGTATTTGTTTCAGGAGAGAGTAATAAGTCAAGAATGGTACTAGACATCTAAATGAAATACAAAACAGCTATACAATGTGAAAACTACATCAGGTTCTGTTTCAAAAGCGAACCTGATCATGTTTTACTGAAGCTTCTACACATTATAAATTATAGATCATTCACCAAGCAGGGTGCTTTAATTGGGTTGTCAGGGTCAACCTGAGAAGAAAGGGATACAGCATCCCAGCAGAAAAATGGACGAGACACTCAATTAAATAACTTGCGAATATGTATGTGTGCCAGGAGAAAGGTCCCAATTGTCGGCAAAGCTATTTTTAAGCAACGGGGAAATAAAGGGCCAAAAAAGTCATACCTGATAAAAAATTTTGTTCCATCGGAAAACACACATTTTACAATTTCTTAATAACATATTGAAAAGATTTTAAGAATATTTTAAGTCTAGATATTTGTTATTAGTTTTTTTTTGCCACATGTAGGCTACCTCACCAAACATATAAAAAACTAGCTGGGCCCCCTTTCGATGAAAGGAATGATCGGCGGTGCCTATACATTCTTATACTAACCGTTCTCTGACTGTCTAGGCCGGTGCTTTAATATCAACTAAAAGTCATTGGCCTACTATATTTACATTCTAATGGAATGGGGCAATAAATCTTGAGAGATGCAAAAAATAAGGTCTAGATCTATACTCTCAAAACAAAACGTGCCTCGCGAAATAACACTTCCGGATTTTCTAAAATTACAGAGACAGAAGCGTCGGCCTACAAAAGCGATCGGCGAAATAAAGAAATTTAGCTTTTTGCTGCAAAACTGTCTCAAAACTGAAAAAACTAAGGGCGCCATGCTCTGGAGAATATTTTAAAGAATCTTTTGGCGAAAACCGCATGTCGATCGATGCAGCCATTAAAAAGCCTTTTGAATAGCAAAATTCGGCTACCACAAATAGATAATAGATGTGATAGAAATTGGGGTTTTCTCCAAACTCTGTTTTTACACCCTGTGTTACAAACTGTGGCATTTCTTTAAAACTACTCAAGATATTTGAAAACTGTTTTAATCAGCGTGTCCAGCATAGAATTTGATACAAGAATATACCCTTATTTTAATATCCAAAATTTTCGACAATGGAACCTGTTCCAGGCACACACACACACATATATATATATAAATTATTGAAATCAATTCTTAAGAGGACATTAACAAGTCTTTGATTTCCCTTTCATAACATTCTGAAAACAGACTGCTTCAGCCAAGAACAGAGGAATAAATAAAATCTTTACGAGTATGAAAGGGAAAGTGCTAACAGTAAACGCAATTTAAAAAAGTCACGAAGAGAGCTATATAATATATGTATATAAAATCATTGTACATGTACAATTCTGAGACAACCCACGCCGACTAGGTTTTGAACATCGTTGCAGAAAGACACACATATTCGATAAAATAAATTTTTCCAAACCGGAACTGAACCCAAGTCCTTTGCATGGAAGGCAAAGAACCAACCAAAACCCCACAGATGCTGATAAATACATGTATAGTAGGGGAGAAAAGAGTGCTGGCAATGGAAGCACAAACAGCAAAACTATAAGACAAATAGAAAAAGAGAGAGACGAGACGAGACGAAATGAGACAGACAGACAGAGAAACGAGACAGACAGACAGACAGACGGACAGACAGACAGAAAGTGGGAGGGAGGGGGGAGAGAGAGTCAGATGTTAAGAAAATGGAGAAAACAAAAATTCAAAGTTTAAAAACATCTGTATCTCATAAAGAGCAAAACATTTAAATTATGACATCTTGAGTCTTCAAAGAGTACTTTTTTTTTTTAGTTTAGTTTTAGTAAGAGTATATGGCACTGGCAACACAATAAGGTCATATAAGTGCCGAAGATTAGAGGCGTTACAAAAGAGTAACAAACACAAAGAAGAAAGAGGAGTGATAAGGACAATAGATGTTTGATAGTAAAGAAGAAGAGACCACACCAGAGCACCCTCCAACCACCCACAAATGAAAATTTTTATTCAAAGTATGAACATCCGCATCCCATAAAGAGCAAAGCATTTTAAAATTAATTATGATATCTGGAGTCTTCAACGAGTATATTAACAATGAACAATACCTTTCTGCTTCAAGTTCATAGAGCAGCCCGCACACTTGAAGCATGCCACATGGTATGGCACTCCGTTGGCTTTGACAATGACACCACTGTGGGGGAGGCAAATAAAACAACAGAGTTAAGATTAGTTATCTTTGTAGTTTTCAGTGTTGAAGAATAAAGTTCAACAAAAATCTCTCTGTCTCTGTCTTTCTCTCTCTCTCTCTCTCTCTCTATCTCTCTCTCTCTTTCTCTATTTCACTCTCTCTCCCCCCTCCCTTCCACTTTCTGTCTGTCTGTCTGTCTGTCTGTCTGTCTGTCTGTCTGTCTCGTCTCTCTCTCTCTCTCTCTCTCTCTCTCTCTCTCTCTCTCTCTCTCTCTCTCCCTCTCTCTCTCGCCCTCTTTGCCTCTATTGCACACGCAACAAACCATTTCACTCAGTTTCTCCTACAGAGACAGATACAAACACTTACATACACAAACAAACATAAACACACAATCAAGCACGCACATGGAACGAGACATAAAGAAAAAGAGAGTGAGAGTCAACAGACAGACAGACAGACACAGACAGACAGACACAGACAGACACAGACACGCACACAGACAGGCAGACAGACAGACAGACAGACAGACAGACAGACAGACAGACAGACAGACAGACAGACATGTTACTCACGTGGCGAGCATGTCACAGGCTGGACATCTCATGGACGGTTGCTGGGGACGCTCATACAGACACACACACACACACAGACACACACACACACACACACACACACACACACACACACACACACAGAGAGAGAGAGAGAGAGAGAGAGAGAGAGAGAGAGAGAGAGAGAGAGACATGTTACTCACGTTGCGAGCATGTCACAGGCTGGACATCTCATGGACGGTTGCTGGGGACGCTGAGACGGGGGCTTGGCGGCAGGCGCGGACACAGAGCGGAAGCCAGAAGAGGCACCTGTATGGTGAGTGTGTGTATTTGTGTGTGTGTGTGTGTGTGTGTGTGAGTGTGTGTGTGTGTGTGTGTTTGTGAGTGTGTGTGTGTGTGAGTGTGTGTGTCGGGTGTCGGGGGAGGGTGATGGTATGCAAATGTGGGTCCGTGTTAGGACGTATGTGTGTGTGTTTGTGTGAGTGTATATGAGAGTTTGTATGGTGTAGACCCGTGTGAGTGTGTGTGTGTATGAGTGTGTGTGTGTGAGTGTGTGTTTACAGGGGGGAGATAAATAACTAGCGTCAGAACCGAGCAAATAATTTCAATATGTATGAAAACTCCCTCAAAATCAAAGCATTTAATTCATACCTGTACTTTTAAACTGTGCGAAGAATTCCGTATCGCATCAACGCTCATCAGCCTAACTTAATCAATCTCTATGCCAAATAATAATGATATCAGTAATAGTCCGCCAATGTCAATGGCAAATATACAAATCTTATTACATGTCGTGTTACTACAATCGATGAGCAAAACGAACTTCCTTATCTTGCTAGGCAAACAAAAATAAAATATACAAAAGTTTTCATCTTTCAAAAAAGAAAGCTATTGGTCACCCAGCCTGCCACTGCTTGCTAAAAAAATACACACAAAAAAAACCACGGTTCCTATATTGTCTGTTAAAAGATAAGAAAATTTCAATAGTTCGAGCGACAAAATATCCCAAAGGAAACTGGAAACTTGCCGCATATTCAGAGCCCAGGAAGCATCATCCATAAAATGTATTAAATAAAACTATTGCAAAAGTTGTGACTCGCAAGTTCATTTCTTTATGTCACAACAATAAATGGTTACCAAACTTCTCATTGCCATTGAATCCCATGAATAGCAAGGTGAAAGGATCAAAGTCAATACAATTACTGTAGGTTGAACTTATGACTTACTAGTTTAGCTTCAATGAGAAAATCGTTCAAATAAAAAGAACGAAG